TTTTTATACCCAATATGAATATTTGGAGAGTCATTAATGTGGCTGCATCTATTGGTGATTCACGTTTTTTAATTTCACTTTTATCACTAAATAGCATTTCATTGTATGGATCTATTTATTTGTCCATTTGTGATATGTGATCTATTTATTTCTAGTTTCAGACTTTATAAAACTTGTAGAATATTTATATACAAGTCTGTGTATAGATATGTTTACTTGGGAGTGGACTTGTTGAATCAGATGTTTGGTGTATTTTACCTTTTGAAGAAACTGAAGTGGCTTTCAAAAGCAGTTTGTGGTTCTTATTTGAGGACAGTAAATGAGAGTTGCGGTCACTGCACATTCTCATCAAAGTTTGCCTCTTCTTTCAACCTTGGCCTTTATAGGATGTCTGCAGCAGTGTATTGTGGGTTAGGTTGAATTAACTAAGTCCGGTCAAGCTATCAAACCCTCTTGTTCTACTTGCCAAGTGTCTGGGTGAAGTGTGATTCAAAATTTTGCTCAACTTTTACTGAGTCATAATGTTTTCTTTCTATTGAGTTTTTTGTTTTGTTTTGTTGTTTTGTTGGTTTCTCTGTGGAAAAGCTCTGAAACATCGAATTTGAGAGTCATTTATCAGCTATATGTGGCTGGAAGATCTCTTCTCTCAGTCTTTTAATTTTTGAGTGGACTGTATTTGTTTTAAATTAGTTAATTACAAGGGAGCATAATTTAAACTGTGTTTAGGGGCATTCTAAGAGCACTCATAGAGGGATTTGTTAAACAGCAGGGATTTCAAACAACAGCAACTGAAACAGAATGTGTTGAATGGAGAGAGCTGTTTGGTGGGAACCAGTTTCTGGAGTACTCTTCAAATCAATTAATGAGTTAATTAGCCTGATCCTATTAATTAGGAGAAAGCTGTATGGCACTTCTAGTCCAGCACTGGTGTTTGCTTAAAACTATTAATTCTAGGGGATTTAAGACAGTCAAACCGATGTTTTATAAACAACATAGAGAATGAAAGGATTCAGGAAAGAGTTTGTTTTGTGGGTCAATGAGCATTGTAACAGATTTAGGGACAGTGTCTGATGGGCAACAGTGTAACTCTGATCTACTCTCAACTGCTGGCCACCTCTGCATTTCTCACAATCAGAGAGCAAAGACAGAAGCCCCAAATGGTTAGAACCTTGTCATCTATCCCAGGCAAATCTCCCTTGCTTTACATACAGATGCAGCTAAGAGGAGATGGCTGTCCTCAGAAGGGAAGTGCCCACTGCAAGCCCTCCTGGTGGAGCTGACTGCTTCACATTCCTTTCTAACCTGACCCACCTAGTCTCCAAGCATGTCTTCACCATGTCCAGGTGCTTACTTGGTTCTCATGTATCTTTTTTGATGGAGGCACCATTTACATACATTAGCCATTTTATTGGTCTGCTTTTCAACTATTGTATTTTCAGAGTATTTAATAATATATGTGGATACAATATTTTATCAGATAAGTGATTGGCAAATATTTTCTATAAGTCCACAGCACATTCCTCATTTTCTTAAAGCATTTTATGAGAAAATCCACAATCAGCTGTTATCTGGGTACCTGAAAGGACTTAATGCCACTTAAATATTTAAATATCCTTTTTTTTGCTAACTACAGGAAAGGCAATACAAACGAATGCTTAGGCGACACTGTATCTACAGACCTATATTGCCATGTGTCTAGGCAACACTTCTATATTTATATGTAGCCTACTGCTTCTGAAGATGCCCATGACACTCATGAGTTTGAGAAGGCCACCCTGCTAATCCACATCTGCAGAAACAATGTCTTCATGCTACACTTGGAGGCCTGAGGTAGCAGAAGGCAAAGGGAGGACCTGTGTTCTGTCATTGCTCAGTCCTTTGTGGTCATCCCTCTATGGTCTTTCCCCCATACTATTTGACACATGGACCTGGGCACTTTCTGTGAGTCACACATTGAAACTCTGCACACATAGCGCTTTGAGTAGTTTTGTTTTGAGACAGGGTCTCACAGTGTCACTCTGGCTGGCCACCATGCCCAGCTTGAAGACGAAAGAGAATGTCCTGACATCAGTAAGTACAACGTCAAGTTTCGAGTGAGACTGACTGTTCTGAAGAGTCTGGTTTGTCTCCATCAGGAAGTTGTCTAACTTACTCCAGGGAGCATCACATGCCCAGGCAATTTGTGGGGTTGCTTCCTCTGTCTCTCTTCTCAGAGCAAATTAACACTCCCAAGCATGTTATCTCAAACCATTTTATGTTCCTGCCATGTAACCCCACGAGTGACTAATTTGTAAATAACAGAGGGTTCTTTTGGCCCCGAGCCCCGGAGGCTGGAGAGCTTTAGATGGGGCAGCCATGGCTCAGACTTGAGTCTCTTAATGGAAAGCATGAGAGGGGAAGAGAAGCGAGGTGCATACATGAGCAGACGCTTGTGAGCTTCCATGAGACACGGCCCGTGCCTCAAGAAACACATTCATTACACATGGGGGCTCAGCCTGTGAGCCAAACAACACCTCCTACCTGCTAACACAGTTGCACTGAGGAACTGCAGTCCCTTCCCATAGACACAAAAGTGCTGAGGACACCTCAACAGCACCACAAAGATGCTTTCCTGTCTTTCTGTTACTATATTTAACTCTTCCAGATCTACTCTTCTGTTTTAAGTCTCTGTAGGTATTTCCCTAGAGCATTATCCTTAGGAGCGTTCTGATGCCAGCTAAAATGATACTGCCTTACCTCAGCTCCCATGCACAGTTGCCTACTTAGCATATGCAAAAGCCACCTTTAGGTTAGGGTTCTTTTAGGGATTTTCACTTACTCTGTATGCTGTCGATATGTTTTATTACCATTGGTTAATAAAGACGCTGATTTGGCCTATGGCAAGACAGGATAGAGCCAGGTGAGAAATCTAAGCAGAGATATAAAGAGAAAAAGGGTGGAGTCAGGGACAGCAAGCAGCTGGAGCAACAAGATGTTCTAGAGAACCAGTAATGCCACAAAGCCAAGCAGCAAAATATAGATGAATAGAAATGGACTAATTAGCAGGGCGGTGGTGGTGCATAGCTTTAGTCCCAGCACTTGGGAAGCAGAGACAGGTGGACCTCAGTGAGTTCAAGGTCAGCCTGATCTACAAAGCAAGTTCCAGGACAGCCAGGACTGTGGCACAGAGAAACCCTGTCTCCAAAACAATAAAAAAATCAAAGGGAGAGGGATGTTAATTTAAGTTGTAAAAGCTAGTTAGTAATAAGTCAATAGGCCAAAAGGTTTGTAATTAATATTAAACCTCTGAGTGATTATTTTGGGACTGGGTGTCTGAGAAGAGAAAGCCTCACCTCTGTTTAGAGTGGTAGACATACTCTTGGCAGTCTGGAGAGCTAGTAAGCTCAGCCAGGACTGCATTTTAAATTATGCAGAAATAGCTTTTCCCCAGTTTATCTGTATGCTGCAGAGAATACAGCAAATGCACCCATTACTGAGCTGTTTGCATCTTTCTCTCGGCTGCTCTAGACATTGCTTAGCTTATGCATTTCTATATACTGTGCTTGTACTTGACTCCCAGGCAGAAGGGAGCCTTGCTGAAGAAGAGCTTCTGGGAGGACTGGGACAGGACATTGCAGGAAGTAAGAACTGCGTTTTCAGGGCACTTCAGTGTGTGGGGCCCATGCGTGCAGGCTCATTGTGAGGATCCTGCTTGGTTTCACACTTTGAGTCAGGAAGGGGAGCCCTGTGCTGTCAACACAGTAGTAGCTTGTTCCTGGACAGAGTTCTATTGAAAGCTCACTCCTTCAGACGAAACTCTTACAGTTTTGGAATAAATGCTTTCAGAGAAAATGCCTCAATCCAGTAATAACTTCCATGATGCTTCATATGGTACTGCCTATGGAAAACCCCTCCACTTGTTCTCAATCAGAACTTGGCGCAGTTACTAGACCATTTTGAGACTCAGTTTTCTGCCTGGCCTAGAACATGAAGTAACAGAATTGTTCCTACCCAAGGGGCATATGTGAAAGGGATCAAACCAACTGTGTCCAGAGTACCCATTTCACCAGAACCTCTCAAGACACAGCTGCTGCGTGTGGTGCTGGAAGAGTCATATAAAACCAAGCTCCCAAGGGACAAAACCCTAGCCAGTTGGCACATGTTGGCCAGGTATCACAGGAATTTCCTAAATGCTTGATTTTTCTCAGTACAGTTGAGAAGCTGGTGTCCTCCATCTCCCCTGAATGCCTCTTTTTCGTATACTTTCTCTTTTCCCACTCAGAGACCAGACTAGATTTGATCCATCCATCTTGGCCCTGGGAAGATGACACTTTAAAGCAAAGGGAAACCAGAAGGACAGATGCAAGATTCTGTGTGAGCAAAGCTGAGGTGCTAGGGGCAGACAATTCTGAAAGGTAAATGAAGGATAAGACTTCTCAGGTTTTTAGGGTCAAGAAACGTCTTCTCTGTCTTTGGTACCTTTCCCTGGAAAAAGATACCCTCACTTCTCTGAGGAATCATGAGGAGCAAGGTAAATATCAGGGTGAGGTGTTTGGGACTTCTCAGTCATAGGCTTGGAGACACACACATTTTATAAACTGCTACAGCAGATCATCCCTATGATAACAAAGGTTTTGGGGTAAATACAACAGCTGATATGTTCCTCTGGCTACTCCAATGCCCAGCTGGGTTCTAGCTTTATAAGCACAAAGCCCCAAGAATCGAGTAGAAGCATAGGACACTCTGGGTTCTGGCTCCAGAACCACCTGCTTGCCACTGCCTTTTTCAATCCCACAGCAGGTAATGCCACAATAATTTCTCTAGAAGCTTTAGGTCTCCCATTATCTCTTACCTTGTGTAATGTATGTGTATTCCTTTGGTTTTAAATTCCTGAAAGGCAGGAGTCAGAAACTACACTAGTTTCTAGCAGTGCTTTACAAAGAACACTTTGTAAAAGATGTCCAGCAATTATTGACATAGAAGGCTATATAAATCAGTAGAAATTATGTTGCAATATTGACTTTTGTGTCATAAATATTTTTATTTTCCTAGGTTAAAATTTTAAATAAAGATCAGAAAATAACTTAAGTTATAAATTAATAAAATTTCAAAGTCCTCCTTTGACCTTTCAGATGCTTCAAGATTGCCTGCAACCATTATCCAGTCTCAGAGGCATCAGCTAACAGGTCTTCAGCTCTGGAAGATCCAAGTGAGCCTTCTAATGATTAAAAAGTTCCTTGAGACTGCTGCTCGGGTCACCATCCAGGCGCAGCTGCTGTACCTCTTCTCTTTAAGGTACCTTCCCAGCTGCCAGTAATAGCTCTTCAAGCTAATCCTTGTAGTCAAACTTTCATCCTCTGGCACTTCCTTTAGGGTTTCATTCAGAAAGACTATCTGATTGTGAAGTTTACCTAAGAAACTTTCAACGATGGTCTTATTCCACCCAGTGCTGGAGAAAGTGTTGTTGAAGACAAGAAAGATATTCTGGAGCATCTCTTGGATGATGAAGGCAGTGTCTCTCTTCTCCATCTGTTCTGGGTGGTTCACCTCCATAGGCATCTTGAAGAACTTTCTGTCTCTGAGGCAGAGAGGTCCACGCAGCTGTTTCAGGAGGTCCTCACACTCTGAATTGCTTCTGCTTTGTCTGGCCTCAAGTTCCTCGTAGTTGATGGACAGGGATATGGGGAGAAACCACAGCAGAAATGCAGCTTGAAGGATCCACCTGTTGGTCATGATGGAAGCTGGGGGGGCGTGCTGGCTGCTACCTGTCAGATGAGGCAGAGGCTGCCAAAGGCTGCAAGTGAGAATGTTCTTCCTCCATGGTCTGAGCTATTTATAAGGGATGGTCCTCTCTGCTTCAGAGGAAATTCCCACTTTCAGTTCTCCCTTTCAGTTTTCCTATGTCATTTTTTTCTTGTTTTAACAGCTTCTAATATTTTATTCAACCTCCTGCCAATTTCATGTACTATATATTGGGTTAAAAATACATGCAAACTGTAAGCATTTCTAAAACTTTGTAAAGTTTCACTAATTGATAAAGCAACAGAGGAGAAATACCCAGAAGAAAACAGAGGAGAGCAGACAGCCCTGAAGACAAAAGAACTCTCAAATATCCAAGGTGTCAACAGAAAAGCCAGGCAGTGGAACAGCTCATTCCAGATGGGATGGCTTCTGCCAATTGGCATAGTGGGTTGATGGGAGAGGACCTCAGTGAGCTCCAAGAGGATTTACAGGAGAAACTTCATATCAATAAGCCATAGCTCCCCTTTTGGAAATGAACCCCACATCCTGGAAAAAATGCTCAATATGGGATCCAATTTGAGTAGTGTAGAAATAAAAAAGACCAGGGAAAGGAAGTCTACGGGGTGGGCCACTGACAGAAGGGGCCACGTTGCCCAGTGCTTCCCCAAAGCAACAGAAGAGGGAGCTCTGAGAATTGAGAAAAACCAGCCAGGGCCTTTTCTAAAGGGGAGGCTGAGGGATGAACTGTCCCAGCAGAAAAGAGTTCCTAGATATGATTAAATACAGAGTAGCACAGTGTTTCTAGAATAAGAAAACTATTCCAGAATCATGCACACAACTCGGATTACAGCTGCCGTGCTCTCATCGAAGAGCTCGGTGTATAGAATGGCATGATCCAGAGTGGAAAGATCTAGGAATGAAGGAAATAAGCAGAAATGAAATAAAATAAAATAAAAAATAGGTTTGATTGACTGAGATACAGTCCAAAAGATGAATTCTTTGGGAGAAACCTCCATTGGAGAAAAACCGTGAATGTTTTGAAAATTATCAGCAGCCACAACCCAACAACACATAAGCATTATTATATATTGACTAGGGGGACATGAAGTCTAACATAAAATACGAAGTGGATTAGAAAGTCAATGACCAAATTCCAGGGGGTAAAATAAGGAATATGAAAAACGACGTTGGAACAAAGATGATCTATTGCACCAATATGTTAATCCGGAGGCATAAAGAAAAATACTGATAATGTGACTGTGGATACATTACACAGTTCAGTGTGTCAAAGTCACCCAGAAACCCAGAGGAAGAGTAGGGCCAGAACCACACTCACGATGCATAACGAAGTGCATCATTTTCTTCCCTCTCCAAAAGGTTCCCAACAGATACCAGGAAAAGAAACTTGAGGGATTAATAAAGATGATATCTGTTCAGTGTTACTGGGTTTAAAAATGTGCCAATCAAACAAGAAGTGAGGTAGCCATTTTTATTTTATTAATTTTTAAATGTACACTTATTTGATGGGGGCAGGAATGTGGGATGGTGGGAGTGCAGTAAGCAGATGGGAAATCAGAGGACAGACAGCTTGGAGAAGCCAGTTCTCTCCTTCTATCATGTGGGCTCCAGGAACGGAACTCAAGACTCCGGGTTTAGTGCTATGTCCCTTTACCATCCCACTGGCCAAGGTAACCGTTTTCAATACATGTTACACTTATACAACAATGGCAAATTCTTATTACAGTATTTCTCTAGTTAAAAAAATAAATGTTCATCTTTGGAAACTAGGTAAAGTAATACTATATTACAAATGAAATGGAGTACTAGACAGCCATCTGAATGGACAATTAGCCATATGGGACTATGTCACAAATTTATTTATTGAAAAGAACAATGCATATGCTAATGGATACAGTCTTACTTATTTTATAAAATAAGTGAAAGGTCTATGTGTATGTTGGTGTATGAATATGATGGTTTTTTCTGGCAAATACATCCAATCAAATATCAATAGGAGCTATGAAGGGATAATGTGAAAAGGATGATAGGAAACATCTTTCCCTCTTCCCTTTGCACCCCTAGTCCTATTTGAACCTGGAACTTTCTCCATGATAAGAAGATATCTTTAGGCAGGGTCATAGGTATCTTCATAATTTGATACACTTTATTTAATTTAGATGCACTATTAGGTTTTCAATTTTCCATATTCCCCTTTAAATATTTTCTATCATGAACACACATGCATCTTTAGATAGCAGAATTATACAAGAGTCTAGTGTCCTATAGTTGCAGCAGAGAGTGACTTACTCTATATTTTAAATTAAAGAGCTAGAAAAGAGTCCCAACATGAAGGCATTATACACATCCAAGAGGTGATATGATAGTTTTGATGTTGAGTGTTCTCTCCCAAAGATGCAGTCTCCATGGAGGGCCCATTGGTAGTCTTTTGGAGACAAGTTCCAGTAAGAAGTCATTAGATTATTGTGGGAAGAGTGTTTGGCCGCCTGTTCCTTGGTTTGCATTCTGACCATGCATGAGGTGAGGTTTTCTAAGACACTCCCTCAGGTCTTGATGGGCTTCCTCACAGCCTCAAAGCAACAGAACCAACCAGTAATGGGCCTGAGCAGCAGAAATAAAACTTCCCTCTTTGCAAGTTCATTCTTTCAAGTGTGCATTGCAATAATAGAATGCTAACACAGATGAAATTCTGATTATCTTGTTTTAGTTACTACACATTGTGTGCAATATGATTTTCACTATCCATCCCATGAATACGTACAGATATTGTACATATATCTGTAAAGCACCAAGTTATACTGAACATCAGGGCATAAAAAGTATCCACACTACAGCCACACAAGGACACGGGGAGGAAAATGGACAAGAGGAGGCACACCAACAGTCCGTTTAACAGCCCTTTTGTTTGGTGTACAAATGGATGGTGGGCTTTTCCTATTTTTGTTCATTGTGCACTTCCTAGCTCTTCACTGTTGAGTATGCATTCTTCTTAAATAGACTAACTTACAACAAAATGGGACCAGCGAGCTTAGCTTTTGAGTTTGCTCTGGCCCTCCTGTGGGTTGCATTCTCCTTCAGCCTTTTGGCTTTTGAAGGCTAGCTCTTGGCAGAACTGCAGCTACTTCATGATATTAGAAAAACAACTCTCTGAATGGGTTTGTAAAACAGCATTTTTTTTCAAAACCAAAGCCATCTCTCTTCTATTGCATTTGAACATGTCTAGTGACATCACTGAGTGATCCCTAAGCCTTAAGCTAGCTCTCTTTCCCTTTCTCTTTCTTCTTTTCTTCTCCTTTTCTCTTGCCCCCCCAAGCATTTTTCATTAGCCTGGAGTATACATGACATAAAGACCAATGCAGGGAGTTTCCGAAGTCATTCAGTAGAGTTGCCCTATTTCATTTAGCAAGGAAGAGACTTGAGAACTCATAGGAAGTTGCCTTTCCCTTGCTACATGCAGTGGCCTCTGATCTTCCTCACAAAGTGGCACCTGGAGAGCTCACAGTCAGCTGACATCACAGGAGGAGAGACAGTGATAGAGGTGGCTTATTTGTTTCCATTTGGGGGGCATTCACTATGCAGTATTCTATGAAAAGTTCTCAAAGTAAATATTTCAGAGTATTTAATAGCCCATATTTTTATTTTTATTAAAATAAATTATGTCTTAGAAACTTGCATGAATGCTTCACATGTCAATCCCAGCTTCCTCTCCCACTCCCCCTCCCTAGTCCCTCAACCAGCCCTCTCCCAGCCCCTCACCCAGTCCCCACATCATTCCCCAGGAAGGGTGAGGCCCTCCTTGGGGGCATCTCCAGAGTCTGTCATTTCATCCAAAGCAGGGCCTAGGCCCTTCCCCTTGTGTCCAGGCTAAGAGAGCATCCCTCCATATGGAGAGGACACCCAAAGTTCACTCATACGCCATGGTAAATAAACAGTGATCTACTACCCAAGACCCTAGAGATTCTGAGGCCTCCTCACTGAAACTACATTCAGGGAGTCTGGATAAGTCCCCTGCTGGCCTCTCAGCCATCAGTCTGGGGTTCAAGAGCTCCCCCTTGTCAGATCAGCTGTCTTTGTGGATTTCACCAGCATGGTTTTGACCACTTTGGTCATTATTCCTCCATCTCTGTCACTGGGTTCCAGGCGCTCAGTTCAGTGTTTAGCTGTGGATATCTGTCTCTGCTTCCATCAGTCACTGGATGAAGGTTCTAGGATGTCATATAAGGTAGTCATCAATCTTATCATCAGAGAGGGGCTATTAAGGTAGTCTCCCTGCTATTGCTTAGTTTGCCAGTTGGTGTTATCCTTGTAGATCTCTGGAAATCTCATTAGTGTCAGCTCTCTCCTCACAAACCTATAATGACTTCATCTATTATGGTATCTCTCATCCTGCTCTCCTCTATTCTTACCTCAACTCAACCTTCCTGCTCCCTCATGCCTTCTTCTCCCCTCCTCTTCTCCCCTTCTGTTTTTCCTGGTTCCCTCTCTACTCCCCCGATGTTCCCAATCTGCTCAGGAGATCTTACCTCATTCCACTTCTCTGGGGTATCATGCTTATCTCTTGGGAATCTCCCTGTTTCCCAGACTCACTGGCACTGGGATTGTAGGCTGTCACTCCCCTGATCTATGTCTAAAATCCATATATGAATGAGTACACACCATGTTTGTCTTTTTTTGACTTGGTTTCCTCACTCAGGTTGGTTTCTTCTAGTGCCATCCATTTGCCTGCAAATTTCAAGATTCCATTGTTTTGTTCTGCTGAGTAGTACTCCATCGTGTAAATGTACCACATTTTCTCTATCCACCCTTCAGTTGTGGGGCATCTAGGCCCATATTTTGTTACCATAAAATGTCAGAGGCAGGTTAATTTTTACAAAGAAAAATGATTGATTTAGTAGATTAAATTGAGTCGCTGTATTGGGTTAGCTATAGTACAGCTAGAGAGGGTAAAACTCTAAGGAATAGTATGTAGTCAAATTTAGGATACTCTAAGGGTAATGTGTGTATCACTTGTAGCTACTGTA